ACTGTTCTTTTTCTTCTTCAGGCAAATTTAGCAATTAACCCCACGGCCTTGTTGCCTGGAGCACCTCCCCAGGTCCTGGGAGCAAAGCCTGTTTCTCCAGAGTTGGCTCTTCCTTCCTCGGAACCTGGAAGGAGCCTCGGTGTGGACAGTCACCCTGCTGCTCCTGGGCACGGAGAGGCCGGTGTGAGCTTTGATCTTCCCGCACAGGCAGACACCTTACACAGCGCCAACAAGGTGATGCAACCTCTGTATGAGCTTTGCTCTCAGAGAACGGCCTGGCTGCCTCTTCCTAGTCCATGAGTTACACACTATAGTCCTGCTCTGACACCCCATCCTTCCTTCAGCCTCCCTCCCTCCTGTTGCTCTCCACCTCCCCAGTTCTGCTGTTTCCATATCTTTAGTGTCCCATTTATGTTTTGCATAGTAGCCATGTTGAAAAGTCCCCTAGCCTCAGTTGGTGTCTGCTGCTTTCTCATGGATCACCCCCAACTTGCAGTCACTTCTGGTGCCACCCCTTCACCCCCGCAGGCCGCTGCCCGCTGGCCAAGCTTCCTCTGTCTCGCAGCCTCACTCAGGACTTCCCACCTTATTTCCTGGGCTCCCAACTCCAAAATCCTGGGGCACTCTCCTCCCCAGCTAGGAAAGCCGTCACAGTGGATTCCAAACTCCCGTACATGTTCCTTCCATGTTAATGTGCTTTCTTTTTGCTATCCAGTCACATTCCTTCCCTAGAAAGTCCTAGCTGGCCTCTGAGTTAGCGACAAGATCTAGGATGACCTAACCCTAGCAGATACATGCAAGGGTTCCAAACCTGTTTTCATAGGTAAAAAAGAACATCCTTCCTTTTGTTGATAGTTTCTGTTAACTCTTGTTTGTTTAGTGTAAAGTGGCTACTTCCTAAAATTACTTAGGAAATTTCCTTGAAGTAGACAGACACAGACAAGAACTTTGCCCAAAGTAGGCTGTATTTTCTCAGAACTAAACACCAAATTATGTTTCAAAGTTCTATTAAGGGTTCTGATTTCTGGGCTGTATTTTTTTCATTCAGTACTTGATGTTTGTTGAAGAAAGCACTTGGGGTTACCTTTTTCCT